TTTTTTTTTTTTTTTTTAAGCTAAGCAAAACAGAATAAAATATTGTTAAGTATACCTATAATTGTCAGTTGAATTCTAAATTCAAAATTAACTTGTCATTGCAGGATCCACTTAAAAATGGCGTTTTGGCAGTTCAAACATTACGGAACAACATAATGGCATCTACACTTTTGGCGACAACTGCAATCACTCTCAGCTCTTTAATAAGTGTGTATGTCAGCAATAAATCAAACTCTTCCTCCTTGAAATTAGTTTACGGTAATAAAAGTCCAATCATGTCATCCGTAAAGTTCTTCGCTATCTTGCTCTGTTTTCTTGTTGCCTTTCTTTGCAATGTGCAGTCTATTAGATACTATGCCCATGTTAGCTTTCTAGCTACAGTGCCTACATTCAAAGACACAAAAGATGCTATAGAGTATGTTGTAATAAACTTGAACAGAGGAAGCTTCTTTTGGTCGATAGGACTTCGGGCATTTTACTTTTCGTTCCCCCTGTTCCTTTGGGTCTTTGGGCCGATACCCATGTTCGTATGCTGCTGCATAATGTCATTTATTCTCTATTTTTTGGATACTACTACAAACTTTACAAGGAATCTGCACAGTTATTCTATCAAGAACGAAGCAAAGGCTGATGATTTGGAGTCAGTTCTTCCCTGAACATAGAAGTGACGGCCAGAAAATACTTCATTCTCATAACTTTTGTTAGTAGAGAAAGAGATTTCTTTGTCAATGTCCCGCTCAAGCTTAATTTTCTTCTTTTGGCATGTTGGGTATGTACTACTGGATGGATACGACAACATAGTAGATAAGATTTTAACTTATTTTCTTTATTAATATTGTCCATTGCTGCTCAATCCACTTCACCAAACATTTCTAATGTATCTGGTTGCTGCATCTCTTTTTTTTTCTTTCACTTTACTAAACATTTCAGTAGGGTAATTTAATGTATCTGTTTGCTGCATCTCAGTTTTTATGTTTGTTCCTTTTCTCCTCAACTTTTTTGTGTTGACAAAGGTTGTGTGAGTGTTTATGGTCCTGTAAATTTTCCATATTTATATCTATATTTTCGTGAAACTATTGGCCATCTAGATTATCCATTATGATGCCTTTTTTTTTCTTTTCTTTTCTTTTTTTTTTTTCCCTGGTGATAACTAAATAATTTGGGGATATGAGTACGTATTATATATTTTCCATTCAATTTTAGGAAATCTTATTCTAGATGGGTTCTGCTCATTATAATTTGATTTGACTTTAGATCTGCCTTTCAAGTAGAATGCACTAGAGGATAAATACAAAATAATTTTCCAGTAACATGATTTACGAAAAATATTTCCATCAGAAAATTTGGCCCCTGTTTGTCATTCATTTCTTACCATTTTTTTTTTTTTACATTACTCATTTTTGATCACACATTTTTCATTAAAATAATATTATACGCAAATAAAAAAATAGATCTTCTTTGTTATTCACACATTCTCCGTCAATTACTATTTAATAATATATATATATATATATATATAATTTTTTTTATTTAATTAATGGGCTCAAACAGAACCTTAATGTGGGAATTTTAGGAGACATGACAGTTTCTTGCATGAGAAGCATGTTGTAGTTTTTGTTGTGTATAAAAGAAGGAAAATTGGGAAAATGCCTAAGAAATTCTAGATCTTGTCTAAATAACATGGAAAATTGGGGAAACGATGTAAATTAAACTTTTGATTCCTCGGTGTGAAAGCTTAAGCCGAGCTAGAGGCCTCATTGATTATCAACGCCTCCTCTCATGCTGATTTGGTATGGACACGTTCAGCTGGCTTCTGAGTTCTTGAATCCTTGTAGGACTTAAATACTAGATGAATGTGTCAAATAATATGAAATTCTAATGAGAGATGCCTAATGCTTATTTGATTGAGAAGCAGTGAAATGCACTTTCACCCCTATGTGCTTGGTTATTGAATGGGATACTGGATTTGAGGTCAAAGAACTTGCTGGGATAATACTTGCTAAATCATATCACTTTTTGTATAGGATTAGGCAAGACTAGGGATGTAAAATTGGGCTCGTCGGCTCGGATGGCCTAGGGAAAGCCTGAGCTAGCCCAAGCCTGTGGCTCGCGAAAACTGAGCCGAGGCTCAGGCCGAGCAAAAATAAAATAAAATTAGACAAACAGCTAGTTAGTTGTCGGCTAAGGTAGCTATGCTTTTATAGTTGCCTTAGCCAGCAGTTATGCTACCTTAACGTATTTAAGGCAAAAATTCAAATTTGAGTTCAAAAAGTTTGATCTTTTGGTTATAAATATATGTTAAATTTCTCAGTTTCATAATAATTTTCTTCAATCAATTTTAACTTGCAGTTTCAAGCTTCAACTTCAATCTCCAATTTATTTGCTCTAATATTCATTTTTTTTTAAACTTTGATATTCAACATCATTTGTTATAATAATTATAGAATATAGATAGATATTACTAGCGATGAGATTAATTAGTTTAAGGGTAGTTGGAGTATTCCAGCTGGCTACGATACATCTCAAAATGTTTCGATTGATTTGGATAATATCAAAGAGGAAGAAATACTTGAGACTAGTAAACAGTAGAAAAAAGAATTATCAAATTGTTGGCAACATATGACACGTAAAAATGTTGGTGTTCAAAATGAAGTTGATATTTGAAAAACATACTGTAATTATTGTGGAAAGAACTTAGTGGGAAGCCCGATTTAAACACAACGTATTTGAATAATCACATATTGAGAAGTTGCAAAGCAAAACTAGTTGGTCTTAATCCGAAACAGACCGAACTAGTGTTCGACGATTTTGGTTCAACTCTTTCCATCTTTGTATATTTACAAGAAATATTTCTTAAAGAAATGGCCACAAGCAGAGATGCCCTTTACGATGATAGACTCAATTCACTTTACCTGACTCGTGCAGAATTATCTCCAACCTAGGTATGTTGCTTATTATAGAAATACTCTTTGTTTGGATACTGTGAAATTAATTAACAAAAGAAATCAAGTTGCTATTGAATTAAAAAGAATTTAATAGTATTATATCATTTACCTCTGCAAGATACTGCTTATCAATTATGTATGCCACATTATTAATTTGATTATAAAATATGGATTGGAACATATAAAATCGCCTTTAGATAAAATAAGACAAACAATAAATTTTATTACTATGTTACCAATCAGAAAGTAAGCATTTAATAGTTTGCGTGTAGAGTATGACTTACGAGAAAAATCATTTGTCATTAATGTAATACATAGATGGAACTCTACATATATTATAATACATTCGTGTGAAAATTATGATAAAGTTATTTCATTATATTATATGGTAGGCATACATACAGACCCGAATATAATTTGAAAGATTAGGAATTGTCTATTATATTTTATGTGAAAAAATTTTTGAAACCTTTTTTCGATGCCACAAGCGGTATTTATTACCCTATATTTTTACTTGTTTTACAACATTTTTTCTACATTTCACAAGCTTTTCATAAATATAGAAGTTTGCCAAATTTTTTAATGTAGTTTGCTCGATGGAATTAAAATTTCGTAAATATTGGGAATAATTGCTCGCTTTACTTCTTTTAGCTTTGGTGATGGATCATCAACTTAATTTAACTGGCACAAAAGTCATTATAAAGGGGATTTCAAATTTCATGAATTTGAAATTTTCACATGTGCATATAGAATCTATTACGATGAAAAAGGAGATTAGGGCAGTTCTACTTCCCAAAGTTCTTTTTGAAGAAATATTTCAACAAACGGGATTATTTGGATACCAATACAAATGTTCCCTTATTTAGTTTTAGTTCATCGTTATCTAGAGTGACAGATGTTAGTGCTACAAATTTTGAAATTCCCTCTGAGTTAGCTAGGTATATATGCCTGGACGTTCGTAATGTATTACAACCAAAAGAATTATAGAAATTTAATCTTCTATCATGTTGGAAGAGTAATGCAAGGCAATATCCAATTGTATAAAAAATTGCACATGATTTATTAATACCTTCGGTGTTTATGGTGGCATCGGAGGCTGCATTTAATTTAGGTGGTCGAGTTTTATCAGATAAACTAGCAAGACTAAAAGAAAATATATTGGAGGCTTTAATATACTTAAAAAACCGCGAATGTGCGAAATTACGTATTCAAGAATAAGGTGAAAGTATAATGGTCGAAGATTGCAGGAGCTCCAAGCATAAGGATATTGTAAATTTTTAAATTGATTAATTTTTAAAAAAATATATAATTTTTAAATTTATTTTTCTTAAGAAAAAAGTGTACACGAAATATTCTATTCGTATACAATTTTAACTCTGTTTACGTTGATTGTAGTCAGTCTCAAAGGAGTGTCGTAACTTTTATTTAATTTATAATTCATAAAAGTTGTACCAAAATTTTTTTTTTTTTTTTTTTCAAATGTTAGAATTGTTACAAAGGGAAAAAAGAAAAAAAAAAGGAAGCTCGGGAGTCAGCTCAATAAGGCCCAAGCCTAGATTTCTTGGCCAGGCAAAAGCATAGGTCAGCATGGGTTCACAAAAAAGTTCGGACCATTTTACTCGAGCCTAGCCCGAGCCTCAAGTTTTGGCTCGCGAGTAGGCTCGACTCATCTTGTTGACAAGCTTAGGCAAGACCTTATAGTTGAATTCAGTTGATGACCTTGGCCCCACCTTCTTTTTTTATGAGTCGCATTGAATGAGGTTGCCCGTAAGTTTATGCAATACTCACATATTGATCTTCCAGCATTTGGTGGCTTGGGCCAGTGTTGACCTCAAAATCGAGATGAATGAATTCTTCTTATTTAACTAGGATTTTCACTCCCAAACTCAGTTAAATTTGGAGTTGGGAAGGAAGTGGTTATTTGAAAGGATTGTCTAGTCAATTTTCATATACCTCAAAATTGAGATGAATGAATTCTTCTTATCTAACTAGGATTTTCACTCCCAAACTCACTTAGTTAAATTTGGAGTTGGGAAGGAAGTGGTTATTTGAAAGGATTGTCTAGTCAATTTTCATATCCTTCTATGTTCCCAATTATGCCTGTTTATGGATTTCTGATGAGGCAATAAGGTTAATTAAGCCTTTTCTTTTAATGACACTTGTTGATTTGTGGGCCTTAACTAAATTTGTTACCTTCTCACATTTTATTTACTGTGACACACCTTCTTCACTCATTGGTTACGAAGTCACATTTAATTGGTTTATCGTTCTTATTCACGTGTATTTCAATAACGATTTTTGCTAATGTGGAATAATCCTTGAAAAAAAAAAATAAGAGTATTTTTTTATTGTTCAGTAATTTGTATTCGCATGCCTCATGCTCATTATTTGTGTTCAAGATCGAACATATGGTTCCGTATGGTAAATGCTTGATGACAATGTCCCGGGACCGTACACAATCTTAATGATTTTTTGATTTAGATGTGCTCATTGATAGTGACACAAGTTTTCATAGAGCAAGCTCAAAATAGTATAAAAATAATGTTCGATTCAGCCATTGATCTCTGTAAAATTAATTTATAGCAAATAGTCTACAAAGTCTAATTCTAATAATTTACGTTAGGTTCAAGACTTATGTTTAGGTTCTACATTGTGCGAAGTCAAAATATTTTTGATTTTTGTTTTTGACAGTATAACTCAACTATGGTTGATGATCTTTTGCCTTGGCTTTTTATAAAGATGAGGACAAAGAGATGCTTAATTAATTTTGAGCGAAAATGAAGTTGGATAACAAATAGACTTCGAAGTTCAAGCTTAACCATTAATATTAAGTTACAAAATGGCGAGGATTTAAGTAGGTATTTTAACGTTGCGATTACCAAGGCTCATTAATGGTGACTGCCGCGTGGTCTCAAGGAGAGGCATTGTGTATACGTAATACGTGCGACAAACACACTTG